GTCAAAGCCTTTTTAGCCATGTTGGGGATCTTAGCTTTATAAAGGAAAAAAAAAACAGTGGCAGCTTTATTGTCATCTTTTATCGAGAAAAAAAGCGGTCTGGGATCGCTGATTCTTACTGATCATTTTTTGAGAGCTCTCCTGCTGGGATTGGCCAGTTGTTAGTCACCGCCTGGGTAAAAAAAAAAAACCACAGGAGGGATGAAGACAATAAAAGTGTCTTCCAAAACGTGCAGCCAGATTATCCTCTTCTGCCCACTCTGTGACCCCCCTGGTCCCCCCTTCAGCTGTGGGCCAACACAGCTGCCAACACAGGGAAAGCTCGCGGGCACCAGCTGACCCATAGGTGCTGCTGTTGTGCTGCAGCCGGGGAAAAACCCTGACCAAAATAAACCGACCACATCACGGCAGGCAATGCCCACCACTTAGGCCAATCCCCGTCTCGGTCGCCTACCAGGAAAAACAAAATTGAAACCAGTGATCTCGGGAACAGCTTGCACTCCCTGTGGGCAAAGGGCAGCGAAATTAAGCAAAGTCTCAGGGCGTTTGGCGGTTTCAAATATTGCGAGCTTCCCCCAAGTGTGGGATCGTTCGCGCAAAGAGACTTTTAAAAAACGGAAATCTGACGGAGTGATCGATTGGAAGAGGCTGCAATGGTATTCCCCAGGATAGCAGCGCAGACTTTTGAAAGGGTGACCCAGGGAGGTTTTCCGAAAGGGATCCAATGTTACGTGAATATAAAAATCAAAACAGTTGGAGCGGATCAGCTGGTCAGGCTGGTCGCTTAGCTCACTGACACACTGGGCGCCTTGTTAGCAGAGCAGCAGGGAGGGGGCAGAGGCGTGGAGGGGCTTCACAGTGCAGTGCCTGTGATTTGGGGTGGAAGGAGGGGCGTGATCGGCTGAAGGGCGTCACCCAAAACGTTCTGAGAAGACTCCACAGGGACCATGACACCAGCACATTCAAAAAACAAACAAAAAAACAGATGCATCACTGTGCCATTCTGCTGAAAGGTTGCTTGTCAGCATGATTCTGTACATTTTTTTTTTTACTTGGCTGAGAAAATGCACTCTTTTTTTTTTCAAAACAACGTTCGAAGGCGACTTGTTTTCAAGGTTCCCAGGGCAACGGCAAGGCTGATGACAGTTACAGACCATGGGAGCGTGGAAGAGCAAGACACGCTTGATGACGAATGAAACAAGCATGCAAGGCTGAATACAACCGCTGTGCAGTACCAGGGGTGGGGGAGAATTCTGGGGGGAGGCCCTACCTTCTTTGCCAGCAGGACAGGCGCAATGGCAAAGTCAGACACGTGCAGAGTGTAGCTGTTCCCCTCCCCTCCCTGAGGAAAACAGGCTATATACAACATTGTCATTCCTTACACTGGGTGCGTAAAAGTGTTTTTGTCCTGTGCCATGGGGAAAAAAAAACACGGTGAAGGATGGAGATGTATGGGTAATAAACAAAATTGGGAAACTTTTGTATAAGGATGGTAAAAACATGGGAAAGTTCAAAATTACCCGGGTAAACGCATATGAAAAGACAGCAAAGCATCAGGGCTAAACTGCATTATGTTCACGGATGCTGCGGTTGGGTCAGTTTAATACGAATGAAAGAATAATAAGAACAGGGACGATTATTTTAAACAGACTAAGCCACTCTGAACTGGAGAGGGCACAATGTTCGTGATTAACTGAGGCACAAAAAGCCTCCATATTGTCTGTCAATATGATACACAGAGAATGAAGTGGATGTGATATTTAACATTCACAAAGCATCCTCACATGTGCTTTGTAGGTGTTATATAGTTCAGGAAACTGTGGTATATTTAGGGTATAAGGATTACAGGTCCAGATAGCCTTTCTATGAAGCACAGCAATTTTACTGGATGGGGGCATAACAGTTTCCTTTGAATGCTTACTGATTCTATAGATTCTAAAACCATGGCTTGCAGTCATAGGGCTATACTGGGAATAAACCAGTCGACTGCTGCTCTCCACTCCCCCACATCCCACAAAGAAGAAGTGGCGTGGATAAGAGGCCACTACGATGGAGGGCGCTATACCAGGCACCTGTTCCTCCATGTAGTGGGGGCAGCGATCCAAGGCGAGGAGAGAGACATCACTTCTGCCTCATCCACTGCGCTAGTGGACTCGTAAATCTCACAGCCTGGGTCTTGCTTCAATTAGGGTCTTGGAGAGACTTCAGACGTGGTGCAAAAGCATTAGACGGGCCTCATCTTGCCAGAGAGCCGGCTGAGCATCTGATGAAAACCATGATTAACCACCCCCCCGAGCCGGTAAAATCTAACGTCCAACCCATCAATCAAGCACCAATCGAAAATAGTAGAGGGTGTAGGAGGACCAGCCCTCCCCCCGCCCCCTTCCAGCCTCCACCAAATGAACCAGCCCTGTCGAGCCACTTCTGGCAGTCCTGGAGGAAATGGTCTCAGGGAGCCTGGATAGGAAAGCTCCACTCCTGCTGGTGCCGGGGGGGATACCTACAGCGCTCTGTGTTTACACTGCGGACGAAGGCATGGAAAAGTCCTGAAGTCCTGTCGATCCCTCTGGTTCTGACGCCTACTTACTTGCGAGAACTGGCAACCTTCCCCCCCCCCCCCCCCCCCCCCGTCCTAGGTGTGAGAATGGCCCTGACCTCGTCTGACCACAGCGGCGTGCAGCTTTCACACTGTGCCCTCAGACACAGGCAGGGGGCATTCCTGCACAGACAGATACTGTACTCTTTAATGTCTGGGCACTATGCCCTTCACCAGCGCATGCCCAAAACACAAGGCCTGACCACAGAGGACCTGCTAGGTCTGAGAACACCAAGTAGGGGCTGCCAGCCTACCTTTCTGTCTCTGCGCCTGAGAAACTTCCAAGGAGTGCTTCAGCTGAGTTTAGGTGAAACGACTAAGTTGCCAACTTTAAAAGAAATTGTCTCAACTAACGAGCAAGGGTCTGCTCTAATTGAGACTTGCCGGGCTAACACATTCCACAAACGCTCGATCCTTCGGTTTCTGCAACACCGCCCCATGATTCTGACTGCACATGCAGGGGCTAAGGAACGCAGGTCAGGCGTCGCCTGGGGTGCCCATACTCCCATGTCCACCTCACTGACTCGGCCGGTCCAGTCCACAGATAAAATAAAGCCGATACCCCAACACATCCCCATTCCCTAAGCCCCAGCTGTTTCCTTTCCTCCATTGTGCACCTCGCAAGAACACAGCCCTCAGTGTTTGGTGGCTGGGCTCTCTTGCCCAGCACGCATTCCTGCGCGCTGACAGACTGGTAGCTGCCAGCCGCACCTGCGGCCTCAGGTGGGCGTGGGCCAAGCGGGCTGCTTATGTGAGCGATGTCCCTGGATCTTTACATTCTCCCAAAAGGGGAGGGCCCGCATGAGGGAGGTCTGGGAGCCGGCACCTATTAATCCAAAGACGCATCGACGGTTTTGAACATGCTCTGTGCCCACAGCGCAAACCATGTCAGAGTTTCGCTGGACTGCGCGTGCTGTTGACATTGTCAGATTGTTACTGCACTGTCCTTGTGCTCTGGCTTCATTCTTGGGGTCCGCTGGGACAGAAACCCAAGCTGCCGAGGGAAGACTTCGTGGGATTTCATGAGATCGGGGGGGAAGTGCCGTATTGTTGGGGTTTTTTTTTAACGTCCGCCATTTTGAAAAATTGAAAACGAAAAAAAATGTGTTCACCAAAAAAAGACACTGTGCATACTACAATGTCTCATTGTGACAAAAATAATGCAGTACCAAAGGAAAAGGAAACCTGTGTCTTATATTTAGCGAATTTTCAGTCCTTCAGCCCATGTCCATAAAGCACTTCCCACCACAAGAAGATGATTGCGATTTTCCAGAAAAAAAAAAGAAATTATTCTGTTGCAATAAAATTAAATGCCCATATTTGAACCTACTAAAGAGGACTTTAAAACGAGCCTTGTAAAAGACCGATTTAGCACCCCGATGTTAAGCGCGGTTTTGCTTTCTTCACAGGAAAAAAAGGAAACAGGTGCCAAGCTCAGCAACATGATCCCCGCCGATACGAAAACCGCTGCCGAGATAAACACGGACATGGCAGGCTGCAGGCTCTGCTCCCGGCTGGCACAGATCCAGCGAGTTGGGAGTCTTGACGGCAAGGATCCGAGAGTCCGCTCCCTGGGAAAGCCACGGTGAGCACACTGCAAGTGGGAGGGGGCGGAGGTTGTGTGTGTGTGTGTGGGGGGGGGGACCTTACTTCATCCACCCGAGACATGACAGCAGTGGGAGCAGCCGCCGAGAGGGGAAAAACAGCAGCAGGGAGGCCACGCCATTCATTTTTACTGGAACGCCGCTGAGGGCTGCGGTTTATGAGGCAGGGAAAGCAGGAATGGCAGCCAAGCCAAAACATATGGAACAGCCAGGCCTGTGAGTCCCCGCTCCTCCCTCGACATTTAAGGATAGAGCCGATTTGGCTAATGGAAAGACAGGGACGGGGCATTTTCGAAATGGCACCCACCTGGTGCTATGGTACATTAGTGCTGTGTGAGTGTCTGATTAATGGGAGCTTTAAAGGAAGCAACACAGGGGTCTGTAACTCCGCTGACAGATTCATTGATGCCGGTAGTCTTTATTACTCTGTGCAATCATGCTGATGTTACCGTGCTGAATGTCTATCACAGAGGCTAAGAGCACCACTGTTACAGACACTTCTTGGATGAGAACTTGTGCATTTTTCAGACCTGTCTTCCCATGACCTGCTTTAGAAGTTTCTCAGCACTAATCATTCCAGATTGTGGGTCTGGCCTACAGACTCTTAGTCTCTGTAGTGACACCTGGTGATTGTAAAGGGCATTACTCCTCCGAGAAATACTTCTTTTCTCTTCTTTATTAAAATGCTTCTCGATTACATCGGATTTCAAGCCAAGTCTTTCTTGAAAACCTGTACCTATACGTAATACACTCCCATTACTGTACCACTAAGTACATATGAATCACGCCAGTTTTCTGTATTACATTATCCAGTTTAGGTATACTAAAACACTTTTATATTTATTCTACCAGCATGTTGTTATTAGGTTTGTCATTAACATGTGCTCCTCAGTCTGGGAGTATCATACCGTCTCTGAAAGAGAACCTTCGTTTTCTGAACTCTGACCTCCAGCTTTCCCAGAGTGCCGTCTGTTCTCGGGCGGTTGGCCTGGAGTGGGAGTGAGGTCTGGGAAGTCCTGGGTGCATCGTGGGGTGGGCGGAGGTGGCAGTGGGATGGGCTCTGAATGTACAGACGATCCGCACCCCTCCTCTGCGCCTCCGTCAACCTCCTTTCCTGCTCCTCCGGCCCCCACATCCGCGCCGGGATCAGCTTCAGAGGCAGCTGCCGTCTCCTCCGATTCTGCGGACATGAGGGAAAGAACGAGAGCAAATGAGAAAAAGAGGAGTGCTCCGGCCTTCTAACTGAAGGAGCTGAAATCATGAGTTTCTAAAAAGAAAACGTAATTATACTGTGCACGGCTATGCAGCGGAAAGCAGGAAGCTGGCTTAACGAACACCGGGTTAGCGTGACGTTTTCTAGACACCTTGATTAGATAATAGAGAGAGATCACTTTATTGGCCATATACAATTTCTTGTATTAGGAATCTGTCTTTGCGCAGACCCCAACTTGCTCTCCATGAGACACACAGACAAGGAGAAAAGTCTGGGGGTCAGAGTGCAGGTTCGGCCATTTATACGGCGCCCCTGGAGCAGCTGGGGTGAAGGGCCTGGCTCAGGGGCCCAACGGAGTAGGATTCCTCTGCCGGCTGTGGGATACGAACCGGCAACCTTCCAGCCACAGGCGCAGATCCTGAGCCACAGGGCCCCCGCTCCGCCCAAGTAGATATGTGCAGAACTCGGGAACTAAACTGCACCTTTGCAGCACAAAAACCACACTAAAAGTGGCAAGTGCTCCATTACTGAAGAACGGATTAAACGCAGTATATGTGAGCAATGTGCAGCAGACAATCCCAAGGCAGCTTACCCAGCCTGTGCTGCTGCCCTGGGTCCTGGATGCAGAGCATGGAGTTGAAGGGAGGAATGGTGCCTCTGTTCTCCTGTATCCAGCTGCTGCTGCTCTTATCGTCCTTTGCCTGAGGACACACAACCACCCAGTCTCTCCACAGACTGCACACTGCCCAGAGGTCAGACTGCCCTCTCTGCAGCGGGAGTACAGGAGGGACCTCCACCTTTGTCTCCTCACGAGAAACCTGATTTCTGGAGACTGCGGAGGAAAGCTGAAGCAGCCCCTTTTTGTTCGGTTTTCCCGGGCCTGATATCATCATAACATAACATCACTTTATCAGCCCTATACAATTTCTTGCATTAGGAATTCGTCTTTTCGCAGACCCCAACCTGCTCTCCATGAGACACACAGACAGGGAGAGAAGCTGGAGGTCAGAGCACAGGGTCAGCCATTGTACAGCGCCCCTGGAGCAGTTGGGGTGAAGGGCCTTGCTCAGGGGCCCAACGGAGTAGGATTCCTCTGCCGGCTGCGGGATTTGAACCGGCACCCCCCCAGCCACAGGCGCAGATCCTGAGCCACAGAGCCCCCGCTCCGTCCAATCAAGAATGAAGATATAAGGCCGGCTACCTCTGTGCGTCTTTTCGTTCAGACGACCCGGACGAAGTGCAGAAACAGAGCAGGCGGTGAATTCAACAAAATTGAAGAATGTAAAGACGGGACAGCAGGTTGCGCTAGCGATTTAGGAGCAGCCTCCACCGGCAGCTGCGGGGGCCTCACCTGCTGCCGGGGTCCCTGTGGCTGGTGCGCGGTGCTCAGGGGGAGGAGGGGACGGCTGCCCCTCGATTCTGCAGGGGCGGCTTCTTCGGCAGGCAAGGACGCTTTTGTGCTGCACCCGGAATGCCAAGACCCAGCAGCGCATCGCGGGCAGTGGCGCTGCGCGGGGCCTGCGGACGCCAAATCCACCGCACTTGGGTGAGTTTCTATGCCAGCATATTGCTCATACATAACAAAAAAACATCATCCGTACACTTATGTAGGGCTTCTCTGGACACTCCACTCTTTACAGGTAATGGGGAATCCCACCGCCACCACCAGTGTGCAGCCCCTACATTGATGATGTGATGGCAGCCAGACTGCGCCAGTCCGCTCCCCACACACCAGCTCTCAGTGGGGAGGAGAGCAGAGTGATGGAGCCAGTTCAGGATTATTAGGAGGCCATGACTGGTAAAACACGAGGGGGGGGGGTTGGAATTTGGCCAGGACACTGAGGTTAACACCCCTATTCTTTTTGAGAAACGCCCTGGGATTTTTAATGAGCATAGAGAGTCAGGACCTCGGTTTTACATCTCGTCCAAAGAACAGGACCTTTTTTTTTTATAGTATAGTGTCCCAATCACTGAGGCTGTTGTAAGCGCTAATAATAACGTTCCAGAATCGCCCCATATTAAAATGCTTGGCTTTCTGGTACGGGGATCACTGAAATGTGGTAAAGCACTAAGCAGAAAAGAGAGAACACATGAACACAGCAGGGCTGCAGAATCCTTGCACTCAGATGCACAAAGCAGAACTGTTTTCCAGCCTTTTTTTTCCCCCAGGCTTTTCGGCTCAAGCCAAACATGTTGCACCTGCGCTGACTGACCCCACCAGCAGGGAAGGAGGAAAAACATGAAACAATCGACTTGAGATTTGAACGTGCAAATATTTGCGTGCCCTCACAGTTACCATGGATACCCACACTTTATTCCCTGCTTACATACTGTCCATGCTGTCAAGCACTGAGGAGAGCTGTCCAGAAAGAAGTAGCCTTCTTTGTGTTCCGAAAGTTTTGGAGATTCTTCAACCCAGATGTGTGGTAGCTTAGCCATGCACATCATGTGCCCACCGATGTTTGTCAGACTAACACTACTATGTTTTCACATATAGAAGAAAGCTTCAGTCACCCTGCAGCTCGAGGCCTCAACCTGGCCAGGAAGCTAAAGAAAAGGGTGAAACCCCCGAGAGTTAATTATGTGAGCGTCCCAGCGGGACAGGAAGTGCAGGAGTTTTAAATTATACGAATGACATCATTTTTCTGGCCGCTCACCACGGGGGGAAAAAAAAAAGAATTAAATGATCTCAATAAAAAATATATTGCGTAAAAATAAAAATCATTAAGTTCTATAAAAAGATATCAAGCTAACCTCAAGACATTTGGTCATTGATGAAGAAAAGGAAAAAAAAAACTTCAACAACCTTTCCTGGTTTTTAAACAGAATCTAACTACGACAACAGCAAATGTCATTACGTGCAGTAGTGGAATATTGCTGGACTATATTAAGCATGCAATAAATCAGTTATCGTTTTTAATTAATAGTAGGAAAATGCGCATTTCACTTACGTGTGGTGAACCGGCACACATCATTCTTGCAGTAGTACTGCATTTCTGAAAACAGATTCTTGTTTACTGTTGCGATTTTAAAGAGGACAGCTGACTATCTTAGGTGGAAGAGCAGTAAGCTGAAGTATAGGGCTCAAGGCAGGGCAGTGGGATGGGACACTAGTTCATCACAGGGCCAGAAGGAAAAAGTCAGTATTTCCAAAATAACCTCCCCGGCACGCCTTTCGGAGTTGGAAGTGACCTTTGAGCAACCAGCAAAAACCCATGGAAAGACGGGGAGAACATGGAAACTCCACACCAACAGGCACCTGAACCCCGAATTGAATCCAGTATCTGGAGGTAGGAGACGGCCGCACTAAAGACACCACCACTATACCGCCCACAGTCATTTATATGTTTACGGACATGACCGGGTTCTTGAACACGGGAGTTACAAATATGCTCATAAATCAACTTGCATATAATGTTTCTTGCCTTTACAAGTCATTGTTGTGGTATGCTAAAATCATACTACGGTGGGCAGTAGAGAGGACCAGGGCTGCGTGTTTTCATGGCCACAAAACCCTTCCACACAATCAAACTGCAGCGGAAATGCCCCAGCGTTTAACACCGTTTGCATATTTATTCGGGATCTGTGAAAACGGGACGTCCAGCATGGGCCCTGATTCTAGGCTGAAAATGTGTGATAAGGTCTCGCACCCACCTACTGCTAGAGCACAGTCTGGGCCACAGTGCAGCGTCCTTGCAGTTGCCCTAGGGGTGGGGTAAAAGCCAAAGTCTGTCCAGGGCTGGGGTGGGTGCACCTTCAATGGGATTGGCTCTGGGGCAGTGGTCTTGGCTGTGCCCTGACTGGCGGCCTTGGCGTGTTTCTTCCAGAGGTAAGGCTGGTTCCTCAGGCAGTCCCAGTCAACGGTCCTCTTGCCCTCCTGCTGGCAAAGGAAGGACAGCAGTTACACCCTCGCGGGGTTCAAATCGGAACCGGCCTTCTGCCACGGTATATGAGTGGATCACTTTCTGAACAGTGGAGACACTGGCGTGGAAACTCTTAAGGAAGTGCTCAACTCAACCGCTGAAGGACTCTCTGCATCCAGATGCTTTACCACATCAACTTTCTGTTTTCAGCATAAGAACGATAAGAAAACACAATGACAGTTTAGCACATCTCTTATGAAGATGACGCACACCGGTTTTTTTAAACAACATCTTAGTCCACCGAGGCAGCATTCCTTGTGAGCTTCAACCCACCTCTATAGCAACCCTGCAAGTTCAATAAAGCCAGTGAGAACTAGCAATCGCTTAAGACCTGGGTAGAGTGGTTACTTGCACTGATCAGGTACAATAATTAGGTCACTCGAATAGTTTAAAGATGAGCAGGAATTGAATCCATCCTTTAGGACTGGTGTATTGGTTTGATCACTGCCTTGGGAACCGAGGAAACAAAAACAGGTTTTAATACCAAGAACTCATCTGATACCCCCCGATTCAGGTTTACCATCAGAAACGTTAATTGTCATTTCAGTTTTTCCATTATTTTACCAGGTACTTGATTTTAACTGGTACTTCCTTTCCATTCATAGCGGGTCTTGGAGACACACAGCCTGACGCACGGGCTCCTGCGGGCTCCTGCGGGCTCCTGCGGGCTCCTGCGGGCTCCTGCGGGCGGCTGACACTTACACCCCGGATGTGGGCATTTCAGGAGGAAGCTTTTGACGGACGCCTCCCCAGAAGGAACCGGGCAGAGCATAGAAAACTCGGCAGGGGTTTAATCTCACGGGAGTTATACTGGTCATGTCCCTCAACATATAAATGACTGTGGGCGGTATAGTGGTGGTGTCTGTCTCCTATCCCCAGATACTGGATTCAATTCGGGGTTCAGGAGTCTGTTGGTGTGGAGTTTGCATGTTCTCCCTGTCTTTACATGGGTTTTTGTTGGTTGCTCAAAGGTTACTTACAACTCCCAAAAGGCGTGCCGGTAAGGTTATTTTGTGGACAACATGTGAACAGTTTTCACTTGCATTCCCAAGTTTTATTTGCAACTTTATTTCACACCGTCAAGCTCTGTTGGCGCGCTGGACTGCAACGTGTTTATCGGGCTAGTAGAGTGCGCGAAGGAAAATTGCTTCACAGCCGGATGACGTGAGGGATGGAAAAACGCTGTGAAAGGGAAAGTAAATGTTGCCGTGCTGAAGGGGTGCCTGTAACCCTGACACAGTCATATCCCAGATCAAAATCTATGATCCCGAATCCTTCTGCGTTTCAGCAGCAAAATGTTTAGTTCGGCGCGAGCACGGCTTTAGTTAGCAAAGTCTTGGGTCCCACATCTTCCTGATAAGCCCGTCTAACATCTGTTTAAAAGAAGGGTGGCTGTTCAGGATGGCTAGCATTCTTCCGCAGCCCAGCAAGGAGAAAAAAAAATGTTTAAAAAAAGAAATGTAAACTTGAAGCCCCATTAGAGAGAAATTGATGTCTGCTGGACGGAGAACAAAGAGACCAGGTGTGGAAGTGTTCCTTTCTTGGCTGTAACATCAACTAGTAGCAGAGAGAATCTCAAAAAGCATTCAGTGCCCATGCTCCATGGTCTCTGATCTTATCCTTTCCCTCTGCGCTATGTCGTGGGCAAGCACCATAGGCTGGAACGGCTGACTTTTCTCCATGCAAGCCTCAACGAAGTCTGAACACCAAGCCGAGCTGCGGTTGCCAACGGTACTCCAGGAATGCGACGTATCCAGCCTACTGACACACGACTGCTGCAATCAATTTAAAAAGCCCAGTGCTGGGTAGTTTTCAACATTTTTTTACTTTTCCTTGAAATGGAACCACATTAAAGCTTACCGAGACGTTCATATGGATGTGCTCTGAGGTGCTAACAGAGCACCTGAAGAAGGCTCCACAGCCAAAACGTTGTTTCTTTTCTTCTCTTTCCAGCAGTGAAATAAACCTTTACTTGTCCCTTTGCATGCTGACGCAGCTCCCTACTTGATCATAAACATGATAATAATAATAATAATGATAATGTTGCTTTATCAGCCCTATACAATTTCTTGCATTAGGAATTCGTCTTTTCGCAGACCCCAGCTTGCTCTCCATGAGACACACAGACAGGGAGAAGCTGGGGGTCAGAGCGCAGGGTCAGCCATTGTACAGCGCCCCCGGAGCAGGTGGGGTGAAGGGCCTTGCTCAGGGGCCCAACGGAGTAGGATTCCTCTGCCGGCAGCGGGATTTGAACCGGCAACCTTCCAGTCACAGGCGCAGATCCTGAGCCACAGAGCTACTGCTTGAGTAGCTTTGTAACTGTTTTCACAGTTAAAGTTCTAAGAACTTAAAAACTTTGAACCAGTGGTTCATACATGAACAAAATATGTTCTCCTACCCCTTAACAAAAACCATTGAAGTCATTTGTGTTTTCAACGATTTACCTTCTAAAACAAAACCTGGCAGGTCTCGCATCCCCAGAAAGGACAACTTGCATCCCAGGTTCAGAGCCCCTGCTTTCAATACACATCTAGAAGTGGCTAGCCTCACCTTGTTGTTGTCTAGTTTGTACTGGGGTCCGGAGGGGTCCAGTGAATGGTCCTTCTTCAGTCTCCTCTCCCTCTCCAAACTCCGCTCTTTGACACAGTGGAAAACTACCGGCTTGTTCCTGAAGGGGGCACTGTTTTCCCTCGGTGGGCTGGTGGGGTTTGGGTCCTCACTCTGATCAGAGCACCCCTCTCCGTCCACCTGGGGCCTGTCTGCTTCCACGTCCTCACCTGGGTGCAGCTGCACAGGGTTGGGGGGGGGTGGCAGGACTGTCTTTATATCTGGTCGCTTCTTTCTTTTCTATGGAAACAAAACAAAATTCATGGTCAAGTACAGTACAATGGTGCTGCAGTGTTATCTTGGGGACGGGGTGGAGGGTGGCGGTAATATCACGTTGAAAATACTGAGTCACTGAAACACTGAAGAGGAGTCTTGTTGTGAAGTCGGTTTCATCGGAAACATATTTCGGTACTTGTAGTCTTTTGTAACTTGTGACAACTGTGCTGTGACTTCAATCAAGGATTTTCATGAAAAGAGCTTTGGATGGGCCTTTTTTTCCTAATTTTAGGAGAAGGTACTGAAAACAACAGTTCCTGCTCACCGTTTTAAGAGCTGTGCTCGTCTTCAGAGGAGGGAGGCTGCATGTCACTTCTTTGATGGAAATATGTGGAGACTGTGCTCTGAAAATTATACAGACTGTGTTATATTGTTACTGAGATGGATATGTCAAACTGAAAAAAACATAGTCTCTAAAAATGTAAGCAGCACAAATTGTAACCTCTAAACCAGTTTTTGCAAGCCGATACCTTGAAAAAAAACGCAAAACTATCTGGGATTTTCATATCAAGGGAAAAACAACAACTTTTGTTTGCTTTTACAAGGACATGTCTCTGCGATGAGCTACAGAAAAATTGAGAGGTTGAAATGATTGCAACAGCTGAAAAAGATTATTGAGGATAACGTTCAGCAGCTCGATACGTTAATCATTATTAACAAGGCATGTTGAAAACAACAACAGATTCCTAAGGTATGAATACGAGCAAAGAGAGACAAAGGTGTGCATTACCTATGGCAGGTTGAGCTGTGCAGGCTGTGCTGTGGACTGGGCAGCCACACCATGATGGAGCCAGTGCCACAAGAGTACCCAGAACCACAATGTGCTGAATCAAACTGGATCCGGCTCAGCTGGGCAAAACAAAGAGACAGAGGCAAAAGGGCCTTTGACCGCAAAGCTTCATGAAGGAAGAGTCCCACCTGTCCTGGAGTTGTGATGCCCAGGGTTCAAGTCCCCAGTGCTTTTCAGAACAAGGTGCTTTACCCCAGTTGGTTCAGATAGCCCATCCACACAATTTGACACCAGCACCACTGGGGAGTTCATGTGAAAAGACCTAGATTTTACTGGAGGGAATCGATCACTTTCAGTCCACAATGCGACAAAAAAAAGCAATACCGCAGTCACTCGAAGACACTGATTTGTGATAAGCTTTAGAAAAAGCTTCATAAAGCTGTAAGTCTGCATGAAGCGCCTTCTTGCATATTTGCAGAAACGGCCTTTAGCATCATCTGTCAGAATGAGAAAAAGCACCTTAATGTCCTTGGCATCTTTGGCAGTTGGGAAGGCTGTGCTCCGAGTCCTGTCCTTCCGCCTCTGGCAGCCAGGAGTTCTGGGCGAGTTCAGCCCGGGGAAATGAATGTTTTCCATGCTACGAGGACAGGACACAGTCAGCTAGAGGGTTCACTCACAGCAGCACCTGAAGAGGACCGCACAGCTGGACTCTCACACAGCTCATCACTGACCCTGCCAACGTCTGATCTGAGCAGTCCCTGAGCTCATCCCTCCAATTTTCACCATTGACTTTAGCCGGAGCCAATTCTTCACTAAAGCTTGACAATAAAATATATTTAATTTAAAAAGTCATTTGGACACCAAATGCCGGTGTCCTAAAACTGAACCGAGACAGGTTAGGTTTAAATACGTTTCCGTTTGCTCACATATATATCATGTCTTGGCATAGCAGTACGATAATGTGTGAAGGGCACTGGTGCAGTTATAAAGTGAACCTGGCAAGGCAGTGAACATTCTCAAGTAGTTCTCGTTATTCTGCGTCATACTGGGGTCTCAGCGGTTCTTACTACCCCTCCCTCGTTAACAAGACACTTTCTTTACTGAACACGTGCAAGGTGGTCAGCCATGGCGGGTGTCACTCTCAGTCAACTATTAAAAACAAATTTGTTTTTAATCTGTCCTGGCCAAATTTCCCATTGGCCCTCACCAATCATGGCCTCCTAATAATCCCCATCTATGAATTGGCTTCATCACTCTGCTCTCCTCCCTGGTGTGTGGTGAGCGTTCTGGCGCACTATGGCTGCCATCGCATCATCCAGGTGGGGCTGCACGTTGGTGGTGGTAGTGGGATTCCCCATTACCTGTAAAGCGCTTTTGAGTGGAGTGTCCAGAAAAGCGCTATATAAGTGTAGGCAATTCTTATTATAATTATCAAATTTATACTCAGGCTCTCACCTTTCAGTGAAAGCACTGGAGTCCTTAACATGGCCCGGAGAGAGGCTGGAGAGCAGCAGGGCTGAGCCGTTTATCAGACCGGAGGACCCAGGGAGCAATCCTAGAGCTTCCTCGGCACCTCTCCACATTGGTATGTTCAGGACTTTCAGTGTTGGCAGCCCTTCTGGAGCACAAAGAAAAAAAAAATAGAGTGACGCACGTGGAAACCTGGATAGGCAAGGAAGGCAAGGGAACGGACACGGCGCATTCCCCTTAATCCCCACGGATTTCAGTAACGTGCGAGCTAAAAGGCTCTTGGATCAATAAAAAAAAAAACACTTGTTTGACAAAATGTGCCGTCAGTAAAACAAGCTTGAGAGACACATAAACAAGGGAGTAAGAGAAAGCAAAGGAGACATACAGAGAAGGAAAAAGGAAATGATTTTTTTAAAGAGCAAATTAGATGCAGGCTTGCCACTTCATCTGATCGTATCAAAAGAGGCGCCTTAAATGCACTTTCTTATATTTTCCACTCTGTCAACGCCCTTTCAAGAGCTTCAACACCCGAAACAGGACACCTCATTGTTTCCTCTGCTTCCGAACGAAACACATTCAGTTCTTTTAACCCTTCAAATCAAACTCAATGGGCACTTTGTGTTACACAAAGCGTTGCAGGAGTCTGGGACAAGCTCAGGCCAGGCTGGTGAAGGTGATACACTGGCGTCTTTCTTAAAGGATACTTGGATCACTTAGCTCCTGAAAAACCAATGAGCCAGATGAGCTGGGCCAAATGGATTTCTCTTCTTTGTAAACGTTATCGTGAGGGGGAAAGGACGGATTCTCGTTAAGTACCTTCTTGTGAGACCGTGGGTGCAGTCCTCGCCTTGGTGTACCTGGGGAAGCCTCTATAAACTCGCCTCTCTGCTTCCCAGCAGCAGGGATGCTGACACAGCGCCAGGAAACAATGCGTCTCGTCCAGAATCAGCCCGCCCGGGTCCTCCATTGCGGTCTTCAAATCAACAGGGCTAGGATCGAAATATCAGAACTTAAAGCGGCAGGCATCCTTACTGCTGGTGGAGACCAGCGTGCGTTGTTTCTCACGTCTAGGTTTTTGAAACACTAAGCGCACGGAGGTTGTTTGTTTCGTCAGAACCCTTTTAATTATTCCAGAACTTTAATTCGCGAAATCTACAGAACCGTGGTTTTAGAGTGCAAGGGCAGGCCACGACTGTTTTAATAAACTCTTATCTGATGCGTTTACTTCCAAATTAAAAAAAAAAGGACAGAGAATGATCTGAGCTGGTTTTCTCTTCACGAGTTCAAGCGTGCTTGTAAAATATTTTTGAATTCTTCCCATTTACAACTATCAACTAATGCCTCCACATATAGACCCAGAAACGACATTAAACAAGGCAAACTCAACAGCATACAAAGTTATTTATTTTTAAACAGTTAATGTATTTGTTTTACCTCAAGCCGGACAAGTAGTCAGCTAGTAATCTTGTTGCCTGGCAACAAGACGCTTTCTTTACTGAACATGCGCAAGTTGCCCCGACAGCCAGAGTGCATTGTGGGTTTCACGCTCGGTCATACAATAAAAATAAATTCTAAATACATTCTGCTGTTTTATCTGCGTTGTGGTGACTATGTGGGCAAAAAAAATAGTAAGAATACATAGGACTATTTTTCCATGTGTCCGCTAGAAGTTTTATTACTGTTATTGACGTCGCCAAGGGGTGGGAGGTCAAAGGTGAAAGGGCGTTCGTGGTTTGTCAGATTCAGATTCACGCGGGCTGTTGATTTTAAAACTGTAGAAAAAGTTTCGACCGAACCCCGCTGTTAAAACACTTGGATCGGAATTAACGTGGGAACAAACGTACCTCACCGGGACCTGGAGGTAAAGGTCGTCTGTACTGTAGTTAAATCGTGAGAAACCCGGTTACCCTTCTTAGGGCTGTGGGCGCGTTGTGCTTGGCCACCCCGGGCGGCCCTGACGAGACGTCAGGCCGCCTTCACCCGTTCCTGCTCCCGGGGTGTCCAAACCGATGCCACCGCCGGCCCGTGTGATCTAATCTGACTGGGTTTGCGTCCGCAGATAACGGCTCGTCTTTCGGGAACAGAGGCGGAATGGCTGAGCGGCCAGAGGACCTGAATTTGCCCAACGCTGTGATAACGCGTATTATCAAGGAAGCGGTATGACACTGTGCGAGGTTATTGGCTCGGTTGCTGGGCTTTCCTTTTTATCTCAACAGCCTGGAATCGCTGGTATACAGATTTTCAAAAAGGGTGCCCTTCCGAAGTAAAACGAAAATTTAAAGGAACAACTGTCAGGTGTTCTCTTAACTTTCTCTGCTAGTTGGTGGGTTTTTTTTGCATATCTGGGGGTGTTCCCACAGGATTTGGGCGCAAATGAATCAGAGACGAATGTCTTAAATCAGTTAACAGCCACTAACCACCTGTACAGATGGCAACAGCCGGAAAGGAAAGGTGGGGAAAAATCGGTCTAGGGGCGAGACGCAGCTTTCTGAATGTAGAGCAGCAGAATGAGCCTCTACATAATACAGAGCTGTAAAATACACCGAGTAATCAAGGTAGACAGTTGAACAGTAGACTTAGGGAACTGTGCTGGTTTTTACAGGAATAGACAGGTGCATCCCTGTTCAATAGTATAAAGTGTAAAAAAAAAGGCGATCTTAACTAATGAAACCCCTTACCTTGCTTGAGCACCTTTTTTTTTTCCCCTGCAGCTCCCCGATGGAGTGAACATATCCAAAGAGGCCAGGAGAGCCATCTCGCAGGCTGCCAGTGTCTTTGTCCTGTATGCCACATCATGGTGAGGATGGCGCGCACAGCATTTCCAGGGCACTGGATCCGACCCGCAGAAGTGACCAGTCCCTGTATGAAGCTTTTCGATTATTGTAATGGTAGTGTAACAGGGGCAGAGCAAGATGCATGAACAGTATACGTACTGTTGCATGTCTAGGTCTATTTGTCTTTAATGTCTATGTTAAGTGTTGTTTTGTGTGGCCATATCAAAGACAAATTCCCACCGGTTGGGATGGACAATTAAGTTAGATCTTAGATCTTTTGACAAGCAAAAAGCAGGGGGAAAATAGTTATATTTTACTTAATTTAAAAATTACTTAAGGAAAAAAAACACTGATTTGTGCCATGTGCTCACTGTTCAAAACAAAGGAGGGGAGAATGGTGTTTTTTTTTAAGTGAAGGTCTTCGTTGGAACAAAAAGGAGAAGCAGGTTGTATATGCGATGAATTAATACAAAGACCCGTCTCTACCTGTCGATCCCTCACCGGAGAGACTGCAGGACCCTAACAGCCCTTTTTCCTGTCTCCCTGTGATTAATGCTACCCAGTGCAAACAACTTTGCCATGAAAGCCAAGAGGAAGACTCTGAACGCGGGCGACGTGCTGGCGGCCATGGAGGAGATGGAGTTTGAGCGCTTCCTCCAGCCACTGAAGGAGTCGTTGGAAGGTGAGAAGGAGGGGGTGGACTAGGAGAGGAGTGCATGCGGGTGAAGGAGCAGAGGGCGAGAGGGCGAGAGACCAACGACACAACCGCCACCGCAGAATAAATCAAGAGATCTGGGAGAGATTCAGTCTCTGCAGGAATCCCATAGACTGGCATCTCTTTTTCCTTGGCCAGCTTGCACACAAACCTCATGGTTTTGCGATTGTAACTTCATCAACGCCTGGCTAACAAAGTTTGATTTTCCCTTCGATTGAATTGCTAGTCAAGCACAGGCTATATTCTGCTTTTTATACAGTAGGCGCTAAAGCGAGTGATCCGTGTCCCCGGATGGAAGTCGTCACAGTGACAGGGGAAAATGCATTTACTGCGCAGAGTTAAATGGTCGCCCGTTCACCGGTCTCACGGTCCTGGGGTCTCTCTGCTCCGCAGCGTACAAGAAGGGCCAGCGGGGGAAGAAGGAGGCCTCGGAGCAGAAGCGCAAAGACAAGGAGAAGAGGAACGATGGCGAGGACCCCGACAAGAGCCGGGAGGAGGAGAACGAGGAGGAAGAGGAGGAGCGCATGGAGGAGGAGCAGGAGGGAGAGGAGGAGGAGGTGGAAAACTAAATCTCTCTTCCCACCCCACCCCCCGCCTCCTCCCCCTCCACTGCTGTCAGGACCGACTGCTGTGAAGCTTAAGTAACTTGAGAAAGAGCCAGATTGAGGATAAGTTATAATGGGCCGTAGAGTCTACTTTAAAACCCAGGCTCTTGCCAATTAACCTGGTGGCTATTGGACCACGTGTTCCATTTAGATATGCTCCATCAACCATGCAGTCGGCTCCTGCCCCATAAAAGCTCAACCATAGTTGCGTTATTGACCGTTCTCAACAGGGGCTCGTTCGATACTGCGGGTATATGTGAAATGAGCTATTGTTTTGCTTAAATTGTGCTATTTTTCGGCCCTTTATAAAGCATACTTCCTATGGCATAAAACTAGTTACTTTTAAAATGGGCTGTAGTCTGATCACAATATTGCCAATGTGTTCTGAGTACAACCCGTTAACAAAAATGACAGGCATCACTGTACTAGGTAAGCTAAAATGTAATGGGGTGTGTCACTGTTATTTCAAAAGAAGGGCATTGAACTGATAATTTGCTGGCAGTAAAGCTACATATGGCTTTCAATCTGAGCTCCAGTATTTTCCCTAAATTTCACTAAGCCAGTGCCTTAGAAATACTGAACTATAAAGTTGCAAAAAACTGAATTTGGCACCCATGATTTTTTTTTTTACTTCTAAAATGAGTTTTTTTAAAGCAGAAAGCTTAATTGTTCTATTATGCTTCGGTCTGTAAAATGCTCTGGTATTGCAGCTATGAGAGACCAGTACTTGGAATGTTTTGGAGTTTGGCAAGGTGCTAAGATTACATACTGGACCTGACAGCATGCAGCCAAAATCCTGCTTTTGAAGCGCACATTAAAAGGTAAGCTAAAAACACGATAATGTGAACTCAAGAAATGATCTCGAGTTAACTTGCATCAGGCAAAGCTAAACTGAGTCGTTAACAGCTTAACAATAGCTTGTTCAACTGCTTTCAGAGCATGGTTTTTCTGGGTTCCTTCATGGTTTTGCTATTGGTGCAACCACTAGCCTAACCTTGGAAAGCAGTTCAAGTTAACATTTTTGCAGGGGATACAGTAGTTGAGGTAGTTCACCTCATTTCCTCCCTTCTTACTTTTTGTGTTCTGGTAAGCAACTTTCTATGTATTGGTGATCTGACTGCTGTTCACATTTACTGAAGTTCTTAGATGTTTGTATGATTTTGTAATAAATTTGTATATAAAAGGTGATGTGGTCTTCCCATTGTTTGAGGTGCATGAGTTAAATAAGGTAAAGGGCTGCAACAGGGTTAAACTACTTGCAGACGAGTTCACTAACTTGCAAGCAGAAAAAAAACATACCACTGCTGCCAGGCAGAAGTTCAGTTCTTCACTTTGGAATTTGTGATTTCAGTTAGAAAATATTACAAACAGGATATTTAGCTCATCTAAATTCACAATGCAGAAACTGCTAATGACCAATATGTATTTAATGAGTATTTACCCAGTTACTCTACATGTTTGAATTTCAAACCCCAGCTTTATACACAATTTTGGCTTTTAACACAGGTGTCCAGACAGCCAGGAATGATCAAACCTTGTTTCACAAGACATTCCTTGAATACTCATTGGCATTAATTAAAATGTCTGTTCATTGCATACCTAATGCTTCAGTCTTGCCATTTAACTTTGAGTGTACCAAGTCCCTCTTATCAAACAATTCCACTAGCAACATCAAGCCCGAAGCTTCACAGGCTCATCTAGAGCACAGACCAGTTTCTCCTGTTGATCTCGTGCACCAAAACAAAGCGCAAAAGATAAGGAAGAGTAAGTCAAACTCGACACCCATGTGACTTTTTTTTCTTATAAATTTATTTTCATCTCATCTTCCTTCCCCTTGTTCTGAAGTGCATCATTTTACTCCTGCAAAAGAAAAACAACAGATCAACGGGGATTCCATTTCCCAAAGGTCAGAAAATTGTGCAGTGTAGGATACAAAGCTTAAGAGTGGTATTGTGAAATTATATACAGGGGGTGGACAATATAATAATGGAAACAGCCAACAATGTATTAATATCAGGGACCTAGTAAGGAGTAAGGCCATCAGGACAGCTTCAATCCTTCTTAGAATGCTGTTAGCACGTCCTGAGCTGTGTGTAGTGGGATACTGCACCCTTCTTTGAGAAGAAACGCCTCCAGTTCTTTGAGAGATGAAGGAAGGGTCCGTCTACCACCATCGGCAATCTTCAACTTGCGACCACTGTTCCTCTGCACCGATGCGGTTTGTCCCATGTTTGGCATACACGGCCATTCATTTTTTAGACCCGTTCTCCTTCGTCACATTAAACCATTTAGCCGTTTTTGCGACTGATGCACCTGCAATTCAGGCACTGGCTCTTTGAAACTCGGATAGTTGCCTCATGTTGCTTGGAAAGAGCTAATCGTCAGCCCCTTTACAGCTGACAGACACTGCTAATTGGCAATCAACCTAATATGACTCACCTTTGCAGCTGCATTTGTAATGGCGATTGAGTTACTTCAAAGTTCAACTCCTTTTTCATGTGGCGTTTCCACTATTTTGTCCACCCCCTGTATATTGTCCAAGCAGAATTCCACTTGGCGTATCAAGTTTATAGACGTGGAACAGTATACCTCCATAATAGGAAAACTGCTTCTGGGAGAAAAAGACCACCAGAACAGGGAAGTCGATACTTACTGCAGGGCATTCCACTTTGCCACTGTTGATGTCATCAATGACATCGTGGGGGGGCCGGCCATCGATGGTACAGCCCACAGACTGGGCGGTTCCCAGGATCTCCTTGATAGTCCCTGCAGGGCCAGAACAACAAGAGGCCATCAGAGAAGACATTCCACAGGTGACAGGAGGAGACCTGCTTCTCTCCTTGGTTAGCCGCAGGCTCACCCCACAACCTCCGCGCCCAGGCTCAGTTTGACGCCAAGTCCCACTGCGGTGCCGAGACACACCGACGCCCACGCGCTCCAGCGCCAGACCTCCGCTTATGGGGGTAGGCTTACGAGAGGCGCCATCAGATCCGTCTCGGGAAGACCGCAAGTGAACTCCCGCTAGCCCGCGCGCACGGATATTTGTCCCAGGCCTTTCGGCACAGAGCCGCCCACAGACCAGGCGCGGCCCTGCTTCCTAGAGCTGGGTCTCTCTCAGCCCCCACTGGAGCACGCCCCGTCACGGGCGCAGACGGGCGTAATGGCGGGAGGGCTGCTGGGACACGCCCATGACAAATCGCCAAATAACTTGAAACATGACGGCGATGAAACAGGAAGTAGGAAGCTTAGAATCAAGAACCACGCCCACCTTCTCGCTCTCCAAGCCCCATTCCACTGACCCGAAAGCCTGCAGCCGGCTTGTGATGATGCCCATCACGAACGCCCCTTGCGTTTTAACAGGGGAGCAGGCAGACTTGGCCTCGCCGAGCGCAAGAGGCGTCTGGCTTTCATCGCCTAGGAATTTGCTCTATAAACCGGCTGTCAGTCGGGAATCTTCCGGAGGGAGCTGTGCTTGCGTTTCCATCTTCCATTCTAACGGAGGAAATGCCCCCCCATCCCAGCACCCCCCACTGGCCATCCCGTGCTCGAGGGGCCAGGAGGAGGGCGGCCGGCCGGCTCTTACCGGAGAGCTCCCTGGCGATGGAGCGGGGTCTCATCTGGCGGGCGATGGCGACAATCTCGTCGAAGGTCACGCTGCCGCTGTGCTTGACTGGAGGAGGAGGACAGACAGCGGTCAGGGGAGCCTTACAGTACAGGACCCGACGACTCTCAGGAGTCCCGTTGCAAAGCAG